GAGAGAGAGAGAGAGGGGAGAGACAAAGAGAGAGACAGAGAGAGAGAGGGAGAGAGAAAGAGAGGAGGGGGTAGGGGGAGGAAAATGGGTTCTGAAGAAAAAAACAAGGTTCATCATGAGGCGGACTTAGAGATACAGATATCTGATAGATAGACAGGGTGACTGACACGATAACCGTTACACTATAAGCAATAATGAATAAATAATATTAAATGAATGGATGGAAAAATAAACAAATGAATAAAATAGATAAATACATAAATAAATAAATAAATTAATAGATTAATTAATTTTTTAAAAACCGGAGTGAGGGCAAATGAAAACGAAATTATATATAACGTTCAGTTGCAACGATATAAGTAACCAACGACGTACTCCACACGATGCATGACTCATTAAATGTGAACTAACCACCAAACTACATGTAGTTCATTAGTCAAAGACTCTAGATAGACGCACAGTCATATCTGTGTTGTAGCAAAACAATGACGTCACCTGTGAGTTCAAGAGCATTGTTCTCTTTTACTCTCCGCTGGGCCTCCGCCCTCATCGAATAATAACACGACATGTACTGATCGGTCATATTTTTGACGGTGAATATAGTACACCTTATCCACAAACTGGCGGTTGAAAAGACTTTTTTCGCACGAAAGGGTTTGCTTGCACAGCGGGGGGTGTCGTTCGGACCACGGACGTCCCTCGGCCTTGTGCTACAGGGAGTTTACGGTCTCTGAGTGTGTGTGTGTGTGTGGGGGGGGGGGTCTATATTTAGTAACATACGTTTCTCCAGCACTATTGGTTGTATCAGGTCTGGTTGTAGACAACCTTGCTTTATTTTTAACTTAACAAAACTGTTACAATTTTTATTGGAAATGACTCCTTCTACCAACGCAATCGTTTAACAGAGTTAATATTTGAAAAGCAAACCAGGCAGTTAGTGCTGTCGTTTTGTGCTTGTTGTATCGTCTCTTTGACGCAAGACAAGTTTTACATTCTACGACCATGGAGACCGGGGCGGAGACCCGATTTCTAAATTTAGTAACATACTTTATTCGGTTGTTTCATTGGGCGGAGATAACTTCGCCCGCTTATTTTTAGCATCGGGATCACCTTTCGCGGAAAAGACTGTGATTCAGTGTTCGTTTGAACCCGCGGGAAAATTAGTTTAAATACGAGTGCTGGTAACAACCTCTGCACAACGGCAGCAGCAACTTCAGCAAGAAGACGTCCTTTCCTGCACTATCTGAATCGTTGACTCCTCGAGAAACGACCACCTGCTTTTGCATCTTCCTTGTCTGCTATACGGATTCCAACAAACTTTGCTCACATCGTTCAGACGATATTGCAAGATTTGAGCTTTTCCAGTCTACTAATTGTAAGTATGAGAAAAGAGTGTAATAAGAAATTTATGCTCTGCACGTTGTTTCTAATAATCTGATTTGTTAGTGCACAGGGAACGTTGCTTAAACTTACATTGTTAGAACATCTGACTAACTATGAAATAGTCTACATTGATATACTTTTTATTTATTTAGCAACTAGATAAGAAAATGATAATCTGTTTGGAGCGTAGTGTTTTAAACTTTGCTGTCTTGACTATTTAAAACGACATAGACTTATATAATGGGTAAATCAGATTTGATTTATTTAAATTATATTCAAGAATAATATTTTGAAAAGCAAATTTTAATGTTACACACGTCTTAAAAACATACATAGGTCTACATAATATAAAGAAGGAATGATGATATAACTGAGCGCACTGACTCTGAAGTGTGCTAGTACCGGTTGTTGCTGATGAATATTTTGTTATTGTACCGTATATGGAACCGAAGTCATACAGAACTAAATGTATTCTTGAATACCATGGATTCAGAAATAAAGAATTAGAGAAATAAAGGGAAGGTGTGTGTGTGTGTGTATGTGTGTGTGTGTGTGTGTGTGTGTGTGTGTGTGTGTGTGTGTGTGTGTGTGTGTGAGAGAGAGAGAGAGAGAGAGAGAGAGAGAGGGGGGGGGGCAGAGATATACAGATAGACAGAAAGATAGTAGATAGATAGTCATATAGATAGAGATAAATAGATAGATAGATAGATAGATAGATAGATAGATAGATAGATAGATAGATAGATAGATAAAGAGAGAGGGGGAGAGAGGTGAAGAGAGAGAGAGAGAGAGAGAGAGAGAGAGAGAGAGAGAGAGAGAGAGAGAGAGAGAGAGAGGGGGGGGGGATATAGAGCATTTTATCAACAGCAGAACCCATTCATTTAACATGTACATGGCTCTGTTAAATGAATATTGTTACAGTGTTATAGTTATTTATACATGCAGTATTTGTCCGAAAAGAACTGAGGCTCATCGAATGTTGCGATACGAAAAAAGCCTAGAACAAATAAATGTAACATATGCGATGATTCATTTAGAGAACATTACACAAATCTCCTCTTTTCTCTCAGCAGAGTTCGCCATGACCAACACACAGTACATCTACTCTGACAACCCAGAGCCCGTCGTCATTGACAACGGCTCGGGCATGTGTAAAGCTGGGTTTGCTGGCGATGACGCGCCAAGATGTGTGTTCTCTGCCGTCACTGGACGTCCCAAGTACCAGAAGGTCATACCTGGGATGGGCCACAAGGACTGTTACATCGGAGACGAGGCCCAGGCCAAGAGAGGAATCCTGAGTATGCGTTACCCTGTAGAACACGGGATTGTCACCAACTGGGACGATATGGAGCAGATCTGGCACCACACTTTCTACAACGAGCTGCGGGTGGCGCCTGAAGAAAGCCCCGTGCTCCTCACAGAAGCCCCACTTAACCCGAAAGCCAACAGAGAGAAGATGACCCAGATTATGTTCGAGACCTTCAACGTCCCCGCGTTTTATGTAGGAATCCAGGCTGTGCTGTCTCTGTACGCTTCTGGTCGCACCACTGGTATGGTGATGGATTCAGGGGACGGCGTGACGCATTTTGTGCCCATTTACGAGGGCTACGCTCTCCCGCACGCCATCAAGAGAGTGGATCTGGCTGGGAGAGATCTTACAGAATACTTGGGCCGAATTCTCAGCGAGAGAGGCTATAGCTATACCTCCTCGTCCGAGAAGGAGATCATCAGAGACATGAAAGAGAAACTCTGTTACGTGGCTTTGGATTTCGAGCAGGAAATGAGCGCGGCTGCGAAATCGTCTAGCGTGGAAAAGTCATACGAGCTTCCCGATGGTGGAGTTGTTACTGTCGGCAACGAACGTTTCCGTTGTCCTGAAGTTCTCTTCCAGCCGTCTGTCACTGGTCGCGAATCTGCAGGCGTTCACGAGCTGTTGTATAACTCGGTCCAGTCTTGTGATATCGACATCCGCAAAGATTTGCTCCACAATACAGTTCTGTCAGGGGGATCAACCATGTATCCGGGGTTTGCGGACAGGATGCAGAAAGAATTAACGGACTTAGTTCCCCCGTCGAACAAGGTGAAAGTCATTGCCTCTCCAGAGCGGAAGTACTCTGTGTGGATCGGCGGATCTATCTTGGCGTCCTTGTCTACCTTCCAGCAGATGTGGATCTCCAAAGAAGAGTACGACGAGTGTGGCCCTTCCATTGTCCATCGAAAGTGTTTTTGAGAACTGGATGGTCAGAAAATGAATTATATATACAGAAACTTTAAATGATATTCCAGCAGAACAAAAGAGCCTTATCTGTTGCATCATTTCTCCAAACTGCACACATACCCATCAGAGTAGGAGAAAGGCGTTTTAACGGAGTGCTCTTATATATACACTGTACACGATACAACAGCTGTCATGACAAACTGCTGATCCCCCCCCCCCCCCCCCCATATCGAGACAGGAAAAGGAAGAAACTTTTAAAACAACTAATTAAGTTGGTGAGTCTCTTTAAAGAATAAGCCTCAAACAACATACATTTTATACTTGAACCCCCCCCCTCCCGCCCGCCCGAAAACTTTAAACACGTAAGAGATCAAATTATTTTAATAAGTCGCCCTAGCTTGATAAACAGAGGACCATGCTTTCCCTCTACCTCAGCGCGCTGGTTCTGACTGCAGTCTTAGGTCCATAACGTCTGCTTCACCTGGTCACAACTTTATTGTTACTCTGGAGCTGTTCATCCTTCTCGTCTTGAGAGGTCGGCTGTTGCTTTGACGATTTGCGTCAAAGTGTTTTGAATTTGCAAGAAAGAACATTATCCTTGATTGACTGTTGTTTGAAAGCAGTTTTCCCTGTGATGAGAGTGAACGATGTGTTCGGGACGAGTGAGAGGTTGATATTGTGTGAATCTAATTTAAAATGTCTTTATTTTTAAATTTATGAATCACATTATTATTTCATATGCATGTAATATTATTTTTCTCAAATATATTGATATTTGAAAACGACACATTTGTTCCCCACAGATGCCAGTATTCATCATTTTCAATTACCGTATCACGTGTTTGCTACGAGACTGTTATTTATTTCTGTCAATAATTGTTATATATGTACTATACTCATACATTTTTTACATTGTCAATTTTTTGCCCATAGCATTTTGTTTTTGTTAAAGAAAAACGGTGACAATAAACATTGTTGTTTGTAACTACTAGATCTTTGCCTTTCATGCTACATGTCATTGTATATTCCGTTGTGCATGTGTACATGTATTCTTTTATTCTTTTTCCCAATCTCTACGATTGTATTTCTCAACCTTTCTTAGTGACTCACTTGAGGCATTTCAACATTAATTCAAATAAACAGCTTCAGTTTCTAATGCTCAGATCATTCATACCTGGGAACACTCAGAAAAGTTGAGAAGTAACGTTAAAAAACTAGAGCCAGGAACGCATGCTGGTCTCGTATATCAGGTAACAAACATACCACTGAGATTCAAGAATGAGGCCCTACAAGACGTTGAAAAATGTACAACCGGGCTTTTCTGTACTAAAACAGTCCAGAACTATGTATGATTGTAAACGTTTTACGCCACACTCGACACAATTAGGGTTGTTCAAGAGGTAGGCTGCTTCGATTATGTAGGTGGGTGGTTGGTGGGTGCTCTGGTGTGGTTTGCTCCTTCTTTCCTATCAAACATCTATCGTCCTTATCTCTCCTCCTTTTTTTTGTATGTTACTCTCTTGTAACATATCTATTCTTCGGCACTGAAATGACCTTATTGTGTTGCAAGTGCTGTAAAACTTTTACTAAAACAAAAAAACTAAGATTATGTAATGCTTGTCAACCCCAGCCCGCGCTTAACGTGACACAGTAACCTACTACATTACGGAGACACATGACGTACTCGATGACACTGAATGTCCCCACTCAAGAATCGAGCTCACGTCTTCTACATGCGTAGCACTAGCCTAGAAAAAGGAACCGTTCACAAATGACGTCAGCTCAAAAGGGGGAAGGTCGGGGGTGGGGTGTCAGTTAAAAGTTGACAAAAGTTGACGTGGGGGGGGGGGGGGGTCCTTTCAAAATTTACGTCAACCATGATGCTCTAAAAGGTTGGGGTAAAAAGAGAAAAAAAAAAAAGAAAGGTAGAAAAAATATTATAGACCACAATCTTGGCCTAAAATTAACACAGTTAAATTGGACCATACTATTTTTTTGCTTTGTTTATTTTCCAAGCTGTGATAATCAATCTATTTGTTTTGATTACTTTGATTGGTTAAAATTGATAATAAATAATTTGACAGTTCATGTATTTTTCTTTGTAGTATTCTTTTGCCAAATTTTAGCTGACGTCATTTGTAAACGGTCCTTAATGTACATGTAAACCAATGTTTCCTGGCACAAACTCTTTTTCACAGTAGCTTCTTTCTATCTAACTGATCTCGTTCGATTCCCAAGATGATAATTTTGTTTTTTACATTGAATTTGTCTTTTCTATATTATTAGGATGTTGTATCCCACTCACCCTGGGTTGACCCCGACAGACAGGGTCAACACAGACCGCGCCCTGAACGATCTTCTAGAGAGGGAAAGTTTGTTTATAAATGTAGGCCTACCTAAATTATATGTAATTGTGTATACGTACATCATCTGTACACTGGAGTGCCCTTGAAGGGCCCTGACTCACAGGAGCAATGCAGCGCGTTTCCGTAATTACTGAAATTGTGACAGGTCACATTGGTAGCCAGTGGTTATGCTACTGAACCCGTTATCGTGAGATTGCTGGTACGGGGGTTTCAAGACTCTGCTCGGCCCGACGTTGTGTCCTTGGGAAAAGCACTTTACACGAACTTCCCACTTGACTCCGTCCATTCGGAGATGGACGTTTAACTCGGAGGTCCCGCTTCGTAAAGAACATAATAGTGTTGATAGGGGCGTTAAACCGGTACTATTTCATAGTTTAAAAAAATTGTGTCGAGGGTTGAGTAAAACATTTTGATATCTAACCGACGTTCTCACGTCTCTCTTTGTTTGGTGTGTCGCCAGGGGCAACGTGTTGACCCAGCAGCCTTACCAACAGGGCGGGGGCCGCTGCTCCAACTGTACGGAGGCCGCGCCCGACTGTGACAGGGGCCTGTGTTATTACGGTCAGTACTGGGGGCTTGGTGATGATGATGATGATGATGATGATGATAATGGTGATGATGATGATGATGATGATGAGGATGATGACGACAACAACGCAACGACGACGACGATGCTGCTGCTGCTGCTGCTGCTGCTGATAATGATGATGATGATGATGATGATGATGATGATGATGATGATGATGATGATGATGATGATGATGATAATAAAAACAACAACA